CACCCGGGAGTATACCGAGTATCGTTATTTATATTTTATCTACAGGAAGGAGCTATGGGGTTGTGTTGGCATAGAGATATTGACAAATATGTATACTTATGATAAAACCACTCTCATGCTATGGCAGGGGTAAGTCAAGTGATAAATAAATGATAAGTGTAAGGTAATAATGGTGTTCTAGAGATAGAAATAGATACTCATAAAATATAGTAAGGCTAAGCAGGAGATTCGTTAAGAGCAAAAGATTCCTAAATCATTACTTATCTACTAAGTCTTTTGTACACCCAAGTATATACACTCTTATCTATAGTATAACTAACTTTGGATCTATGCATAAGAAACATTACTAACGAAGATTAAGAACAGAGCTTGTCTTCCTTTGCAATCGCGTTCTACGTGCTCTACAAACGGAGAGTGGACTATAAAGGACTCAATGGGAGTGTCACATCTGCGATCTACCATATGACATAGAGTGCAGAATGCATCCACAGGCAAACAATATCTAAGCACCATGCTTACATAATGTCGACCACTTAACTCACTCGAGTACTGAGCTAAGAGCTTTGCGAACGTATGCATATATTCATCATCAATCATAACTATATCAAACATATTATTAGAGCAAACTAGGAACATAATAAATAACAACATAATATTGAAGTAGCACAAAGTCATAAATAAAGAGATATAATAGCTATACCAGTCTCCAAATGGTAGATCCGGAATCCTGAGCGATAGCCTAAACTCTACTTGAACCTTGCTAGCTAGCCTATACTAGAAACTTAAAGAATTAAAGCTCTATTCTCTTCTATCTGAAAACCCTAATTTCTGGTCTACTCTTGACTTATGGCAGCATGCCCTAGAGGAGGGCAGGGGCTGGTTATATAGGCCGAAGCGTCCAACGTGAGCCCTTGGATCAAACCGACTTAAAGAACGGCGTAGATGCATCCTAGGAGGCGGTGGGAAACCGACATATGAATGAGGCTAACAGGTGGGTCCCCAGGGGTCGGGTGGCCTCTAAGTGGGGCCGGTCGGCCCCACCTGGCAGTGGCTTGGCCCCCACTTCGGTGTGGAGTCCTCTCGAATCTTCTAGAACCTTCTGGAGTTGATTTCACTATGGATAAGCGTGATTTTATTTGACGGTTTGATCCTCCTGGACGGTTTTCTAAAATAACCCTGCTAAAAATACATATTTATCAAAACTTATGAAAATTGTCAATTTAAACCCCTAAGTCTATATTGGTGATCCTTTTTATACATTTATTCAAGTTAAGTTGACGGTTTATGATAGATGGTAACTACCGTCAACAATCAGGATCAGGACCCAAGTAACTAGCAAACATGGGTGTCAAAGTGTCACCAGAGTTGGGGATCACGGACTTAGGGTGAGGTGGGGGGTCGATGGCGAGGTCATCGGAGTTGGGGACGATGGTGATGGTCGACGCCTTGACGGTCGGAGTTGGATTGACGATGAGAGACGAGCGAGTGAGCTGAGAGCGGCTACTGAGCGAGAGAGGCGCGACGGGGAGGCGGAGGGCTTCTGATTAGGGTTTGGGGTGAGGAAGAGGGGCGCTGTGGCGCCTGCTTATATATGGAGGGGGTGCGTCGGATAGCTAGGCTGGGCCAAATGCGGCCTGCGGGGGGAGGTAAAGAGTCGTTGGGGGCACCAGGCTGCCACCGGGCCTACCGTTGAGGAGTGGGTCGTGGCATGCTGGCCCACATGCCTGGGGTGAGGCCCAGGCATGGCATGCTCCTCTGGGCCATGCCAGCCCAGACCCGCTGGCCATCGGGCTGGACCGGGCTTGGGCCGGGCCAAAAATACGGGTCTTGTGCCGGGCTGACGAGCTTTGGCTGCATGCCCATATATATAGCATGAGCAGAAAGGCGAGAGGACAGAATAACGGCGTTGGACGAGATCTCTGAAGCTGAGGAGCACCCCTGCATGTCTCGTCCGTGAGCTGTCTGTCAGTGTCAGCTACGATCGATGAGAAGATTCGCCTCGTTTGTTCCTGCTCTTGCCTTCTGCTCTGCTCTTGGATAGGCTGTTGGAGGAAGACGCCAATGGATTAATGGATTAAGGGGGTGTTTGATCCAGTGACTAAAGTTTTATGAGGTGTCGCGTAGGGATATCGCATGGGGTGTTTGGATACTAATAAAAAAAATAAATTATAGAATCCGTCAGTAATTCGTGAGATAAATTTATTAAGCCTGGTTAATCCGTCATTAGCACATGTTTACTTTAGCATCATATTGTTAAATCATAGACTAATTAGACTTAAAAGATTCATCTCGTAAATTAGTCGTAAACTGTGCATTTAGTTTCGTAAATAGTATATATTTAATACTCTATATATATGTCTAAATATTTGATGAGACATGGGTGGAACCAAACGTCCCCTAAGTAGGCAGTCACGTGCCTCGTCTGCTAATCGGGGTCGGGGGAAGCGGAACGAAGGTTCCCTCGGCTCTACCTCCTGGTGCTGATGCTGTTTGTAAATCGTAATAACGTACGTAACGGCGCGCGACTCAGTGTGATGTCTCAGAGACAGAGAGTCCATTGGTTTGGTTTATTACTCCGTGGACGGAGAGAATCGGTTCCTCGGATCCTGGCAAAGTGGCAAGTGAAAAAAAGGTAGCTTTACGTCATTGGAGGCTGGACCTAGCGTGGTGAGATGACACCTGCTCCTGTCCTGGAACAAACCGGTGGGTGGCACAACCAAACTGCACCCAGCAGCTCAGCGCAGTTCCCCGTATATAAGTATAACACTTTTGATTTGGAGAGACCTGCTCTATAGTGCTCTATCTATTTTTTTTACATATCGTTTTAGTTTGGTCCTAAATCAAAAAATTTCTATTATTTATTATCAATTTCGCACGGAACCCTAGATCAGTTGGTTTAGCTATGTACTTTGCACCCTGCCGATCAGAGTTCGAACCCCCTCGGGGGTGAATTTATTAGTCGGAGAGGCGCGATTTATCTATATGTTGAAAAAAATCCCCTCGTCAGCCCCACGTCAAAGCACAGGTCTAAGGCCACCCCAGTCTCATAGGAGCTGCGGTGCCATTGTGTATGGGTGGGGCAGATGTTCAGGAATTTTCTCGATCTACGTGAGAAAGTCTTCTTCTTAACCACAATGCCCGGAGTCTGTCTTACCCCGCGGGTTGAGTTTTTTTATTTATTAATTATCAATTTCGAAAACTTTGTATAGGGTAATAACATAGAATTTATGTTTTAGATTCACTTAAGAAGTACTTTCATAATATAGTTCCCGCATGCTATGAAACTGCATGGATGTTTTTGAAAAATGATGGTTAAATCTAACATTATTCGACTTAGAACAAACACAATACGGCATGCAAAAAGAATTGGAGTAATCATATTTTGGAACTTGGTGAAAATGTCAATGTTTAAAGTGGTTCAATGATGAAGGACAACGTATATCCCAAAAGACATTCTACATGTGCGGGTTTTGTATAAGTGGATTTTGTGCTATTTAGCACGCCGTACAAATATGTCCCATCGCACCGATACATGAGAAGGACAAAGAGAGGGGAGAGGCGGAGGACAGAGATACTGGCACCATTCGTTTATCTTATAATTCGTATTTTTTGACTTGTTTTTTCAGTCGAAATAGTGTTTTTCTCTCGTGACAAATCAGCCGAAACAGTGTTTCAGCTTGTTTTTTTAGCGAAACGAACAAGGCCAGTATTGTGTTACGCCTGAGGTCAAACTCAACGCAGGCATATAAAATCGTTAGACTTAGAAAAAGTTGTACTGTACACACGAAATGGATCGAAGACCACCTCTCACCGATCAGAGGTTGACCCTGCTATTTTGCTATTTCCTTTAGGGCCCGTTCATTTCCACTGATTTTCGATCGGAACGCTTCCCGGTGATGGTTGGCCGTATAAAATACAGCTACGTTCCGGCCCGGATCGGTTCCGGCTCTCCATTCCCTGCAAAACGAACGTGCCCATAGGGCCCGTTCGGCAACGGCCGGACCAGGTTTGGTTCCTGGCCAGTATACACCAGTTTTTAATACGGATGGCTCCGTTCCACCCGGAACAATCGCCAGAACGGCCCGTTCCCAAAGAAACGAACGGAGCCTTAATTGTTTTATGGTGCCAAAGGCTGCTCATGCATATACTTTTTCTCTCTATCTTCTCACAATTGTCCACTCTCTCACCGCAACATGCAATTCATTGGGTGCTTTGGCAACGCGTCAGGCAAGGCTGTCTACTCGTGCTTGTGCAAGACAACCTGAATACTCCGTATATAGCAACACCACTCTTATGACATGGCACCAAGAAAGTCGAGATAAGGGCAGCACTGTACCATGGTGCACACTAGGGTTGGCCTTATGGGTAACTCAGCTAATAGACAGTTATGTAGACTACTTTCGTAACGTATATGGGTGACCTTATAGCATCCTCGCCATATTCCCTCTCTCTCATCTCCTAAAAGTACATGGAGGTGCTTCTTTTCTATATAGAGAGAGAGAGGGGTGTTTTTCGTGATTATTGAAATATATTTAAGTACCACGAGAGCCCTCTCAATTAGTTATATGGTTGTTTTTTGTATTGGGGAACATTTGAGTAATCTGGGTTTTTTTTTAGAAAATTTGAGTAATCTGGTGGAGATGGTCTTATGGCACCATGAGGACAACCTTTTTCCACACATTTTGGGTGCCCTAATTTCTTTCAAATAAGCCTTAGATCTGGCCCCCCGTATCCAGCCCATCATAATTCATAACTGGCCCAAGCAAACAGTCGTTGGACTCCCTTCATCCCTTTCCATCCTGGTGGGCTGGGCCAAAATTTCTGTAGCTTTGTCCAGCGAGGTGAAAACTTTTGGCCTTCGTGGACCGCCCGCCACGCTAGTGAGGAGATTTCTTCGCCGTCCTATTCTGAATTGTGAGTTCTCAAGCATCACCCGCCGGCCTTCCAATGCAGGAGCAGAGCCGCAACCGCCAGCCGAGCTCGACGCACCGCGGCGGTGGATGCGACGCCACACTCCCGGCCTTCTCGCCGCCAAGCTCCTACGCGCCTCGTCGCTTCTCAGACCCCCGTCCGTTCTCGCCGCCCGCGCGTACTTGTTCCACCATGCGCCGGACAACGCCCACCGCCTACTCGACGAAACGCCGCACGGGAGGGCGGCCTCCATCGTACGTGCCCTCAGGTCCGCCGCCTCCTCCTCCTCCGGTGACACGGACTGCATCGCGTGCCTCCACTGCGCGTCCATCAAGTCGGGCGCCGTGCTGGACCCGCCCGTGCGCACGTCCCTGCTCGCGACGTACGCCAGGGCCGGGCGCGGCGCTGGAGCGGGAGCGGGCGCCGCCTTGGCGCTCTTCCGCGAGGCCGTCGCGCCCGACGTGATCCTGTGGAACGCGGCCATCGGCGCCCTGACGACGAGCTGCTGGTACGACGACGCCGCGGCTCTGTTCCGGCGGATGGCGCGCGAGCTCGGGGAGTTTGATTCGACGACCGTGGTCGTCATGCTGTCAGGGGCGTCCCGCGCTGGTAACCTTCGGCGTGGAATGGAGCTTCATGGCATGGCGGCCAAGAGGTGCCTCGACGCTCATTCTTTCAGCGTGTGGAACGCTCTCATTGACATGTATGCAAAGTGTGGTGATTTTGACTCCGCAGAGGTTGTGTTCCAGAGCATGCCGTGCAGGGACACCACCTCATGGAACTCTGTCATAAGTGGAAGCATTTTTAATGGTTTTGCTGAGGTTTCAGCGTGGTACTTCAGGGAAATGAGCTGCTCCATCTTCCAGCCAGATGAGGTGAGCTCTCTTCTATCCTCTCAGCCTGCTCTCGTCTAGATGATCTCTTCTCCTTTGGGGAGTCTGTGCATAGCTGTGCGGTCAAACTCGGTTATGAGACTGCATCTTGCTCGGTAGTGAATTCTCTCATGACGTTCTACTCTGAGTTTCGAATGTCAGAGGCTGCGGAGAAGGTATTTGCCAGCACTTTGAACAGGAACTTGGTATCATGGAATGCAATGATCAGGGGGCTAGTCCAGAATGAAAGAGTAACTGAAGCCCTTGCTGTTTTGAGGGAAATGAGATTGGAGAACCAGCCAGATGTTGCCACTTTGGTGACCATAATTTCAGGTTGTGGTGATCAAGGCCTACTTTCTGAAGGGAAAGCACTCCATGGATACATAATCAGAATAGGACTTCTTCATGAGGAGTCTTCTGTAGGAAATAGCTTACTTGATCTGTATCTGAAATGCAATGAACCATCTAATGCGAGCCTGCTGTTTAGGACAATGCCAAGAAGGGACTTGATATCGTGGAACACAATGATTTCTGGTTACTCAAGAAATGATCTGCTGCGAGAAGAGGCTCAGTTAATGTTCAAAGAATTACTTTCTGAAGGTTTATCGTGCAGCTTGACCACTATGCTAGCTGTCATACCTTCATGCTCTAATCCAGAAGAACTTAGCTTTGGCCAAGCACTTCACTCTTTCATCCTGAAGTGTGGATTTACATGTAGTGGAGTTTCAGCTGTTAATGCTTTGATGCACATGTATATGAGCTGTGGTGATCCACTGGCCGCCTTTTCGCTGATAGAAAGATTAATACCTGTCACAGATATCGTTTCATGGAATACGATCATAGTTGGCTGTCTACAAAATGGACTCGACAAAGATGCATTGGAAGCCTTCCAGTTCATGTATTGTTCTTTGGCCATAAAACCTGATAGTGTTACATTAGTTAGTGTCTTATCAGCTTGTGGAAATCTTAATCTGCTAGCACAAGGGAAATCCATCCACTGCATGATCCTGAAGCACTTGCTTGCTTCCAATTTGAGGGTGAAAAAATCATTATTGACCATGTATTTCCGCTTTGGAGATACTAGAAGTGCTGAGTTAGTCTTCTATAGCATGGGAGACACAAATTTGTGCTCCTGGAATTGTATGATCTCTGGTTTCGCACAGAATAACAAAGGCTGGAGAGCATTACAGTTCTATCAGAAGATGGAGGATTCTGCACCTAATGAAATAACTGTAGTCGGTATCATCTGTGCTTGCACACAGCTTGGTGACTATAGACAAGGAAAGAGCATACACGGGCATGTGGTCAGGTCTGGTCTGCACAATAATGTTTTTATTTCAGCGTCACTTGTTGATATGTATTGCAAGTGCGGGAGACTGGACATTGCTGTCAGAGTATTTGAAGCTTCTGCCGAAAAATCAATTGCTGGGTGGAACTCCATGATATCAGCTTTCGGATTCCATGGCCATGGGTTGAAATCCATAGAACTTTTCTGGAAGATGAATGATTCTGGAATGAAAGCCACGAAAAGCACCTTTATTGCTCTATTGTCAGCTTGCAGTCACTCTGGACTTGTTGGTGAAGGATGGAAGTATTATCGCCTTATGTCAGAAAAGTTTGGGATCATACCAGCCCCAGAACATCATGTTTGCATTGTAGACATGCTTGGGCGGGCTGGTCGGCTGGAGGAAGCACACAAATTTGTGGAGAGCTTGCCGTCTCAACAAGCACGCGGAGTTTGGGGTGCACTGTTAAATGCTTGCAGTAGCAGGAGTGAACTCAAGATGGGCGAATCCATCGCCAAGCATCTGCTCCATTTGGAGCCTGGAAATAGCGGTTATTATGTAACTGTATCAAACCTTTATGCATACAGAGACATGTGGAGTGGTGCAGTCCAAGTTAGGAGTGTTTTGCAGGATAAAGGGTTGGTGAAGCCCCATGGTCATAGAATTGTTGGTTAAGCGGTGGATCATAAACTATAGAAGCCATATAGTATCAAAAGTCACCACAAATGTCTGTTAACTTCCCAAGTTCTTCTTACAAGCTTGTTTCAACTGTGAGTTGCAACACTGGTATCTTATTCGTAAGCTCTGCTGTCTACTCTTTGTACTCTCTGTTCATAAGGTTTAGCTAGAACATGATCGAAATCTTACATGGCATAAATTTTCTACTACTGTTTTTTCTTCCAATGCAATAGTACTTGAATTCCACTGTTGTTTCTTTACTGGCCATTTTTTTTAACTAACTGTGCAAGCATATAACTGCAGATGAACAAAAATCTAACCATTTTCTAGCCCACCAGAACTTATAGCTTTACCCAATAATTGAATTAAGATTACACTGCATTTTTCAGGAGCTATTTTGTCGAAACAAAATTTCAAGGAAAAACTCCAGAGCGAGTTTGTTACACTTCACTAGTTGAAAATACTGCCTGAACATAATTTGATAAAGAGTGCCTTGCTCCAAGGTAGTGCCCTCGGATCCTACAGCACCAGCTTCAGAGGCAGTTCTGGACGGCGTTTGGGCGAAGAAGATGAAGGGTACAGTCTAGAGAAGAAGGGAGATGGGCGGCGGCGAAGACAGGAAGTGGAACACTGACTGGCGGCCGGTGCCACTTGCGGCTTGCCCCCGCCAAAGCTGCTGGCTGCTCACGCGACGGTCGTCGTTCCTGGCACCTCCGTGGACCACGAGGGCACCACACAGGCACACCTGCATGCATGCATCCTCATGTCATGCTCCAAGGAAAGGAAGAAGACAGTTATCAAAAAAAAAAAAAAAAAAAAAGGAAATGAAGAAGACAGACTGAGATGAGCGAGAGGAAGGAAAAAGGAAGGGTGGTGGTTAGTTATATCTCACCAAGAAAAAAAGGGCATACGTGCAAATACCCGAAACCCGGAGGGATTCTCTGAAGCAGTCTTCAAAAGAAGAAGAGAGTGGAATCCCTCTGGATGATGGATGGCTGTCTTTTGGACACACCGCTACCCAATCACTCTCGTCCCACTCTGCACCACCCAAACCCGCTGCTCTCTCTGCATTTCCCCCGGCCTCTCCTTCCTCCCGGACACCACACCTGCCTCTTGCAGGCTGCAGCTTCCCCGGCCAAGCCAGCTGCCTCGCTCGAGAGCCACAGCCACCACCACCACCAGGGCAAGCTGGAGGATGGCCGCAGTGCTGAAGGCTCTCGCGGTCGCCTCGCCGGTGTCGGCACGGGCACAGCAGCCCCGTCGGTACGTCGCAGGTACGTACTGCCCTCCGATCCTTGGAACTGCATTCGCGTTGCGATACGGTACGTAGGTAGGAGTACTCCGTAGTAAGCAATTTTGTTCATCTTCGTCGGCAGCACTACATAGTCAAGTTGTTCGCCGCCGGCCGCCCCTGCTATTCGCAATCCCATTCCAGCTGCCCCTGCCGCCGCTCGCTGCTCGCAGCCTCCGTCTCCTCCGCCGCCGCCTTACCCTTTTGTTTCTGAGAGCTCGATCGAGTGGCCGGCCATCAGGAGGATAGGGAGCGACTGACTAGTAGGCTTTGGGCTTGGCCCGCCACGATAGCTGTTGCTGCCCTTGTGTTCAGTTTGAGCCCCAGCACGATGAATTTTTTAGCAGCCCGTGTTGATTTTGGGCCCGTACGTTCAAGGTATTAGCACCCACTACAAGAAAGGCTCGTTTGTTCCTAAAAAAAACAAGAAAGGCTCATTTAGCGGTACCGGCTACCACGAGCTAAAATCAGCTAACAGCGCTTAGGAATCCACATAGCGGCAAATTTTACTCTCCGCCTTGTTTTGCACATGTTCTCGTTCCAGTAATACGTTCCTAATTTCAGGAACACGTTCCATGGTTTCTATCGTTCCGTTCCATTGGTTAGTTAAACCTGTATACTCTCTTCATCACATGGTTTTTTAGAAATAATATATGTAACGTTCCAGGAACTTGGCTGCTAAGATTCAGCCTTTAAGCCCCATTTGTTTGACCTTTTAGTCACTTTTAGACTACTAGTTTTTTTTTCCATAAAAGCCATACGACTCTCATAAGCCAAAAGTCGAGATAGTGAGCTTCTAGCTTTTGGTTTTCAGGACCTTTTTAGCTTTTAAATAAAAGGTCCAAAAGCGCCCGGATAGTGAGCAGTCATGTTCTTTAATTGTAGAAGAAGTAAAGGGAGGTACTCCGGGTTTGTTGATAGATCATATTTGGGATGGAGTTTAGTAATAAATAAAGTTGTTCATATCGTTTCCTAACACACAGTTTTGTGGCTATCGGACTTGCATGCTGTACGCACAATAGCCTTTTCTTTTCTTTTTTTGTAAACCTGTTGAGGTTAACTTTTTTTTTTTGAACGTAATTGTTGAGGTTAACTTACAGCAACCTGAGCTTATATATATGTCTCAGTCACACAGACCTAAGTTTGTGAAAGTGCTTGCAGTCTAGCATGGTGGAGTGCAGTACCATGTTGTAGGTGTCCTTTGTTCTACACCTCACTTAACCTCACCTGCATGCCTGTATGGCAATAAGTTATGAGCAGCCAATGCAAGCAGGAAGTTAATCAACTCAAATACTATGTGCATGTGTTTCATTTACTAATACTCTCTGGTTCTTTTGTACTTTATGTCCGTTCAGGTGCCCCTAGCCAGCTGCAGTCGTCGTTCCACGGCGTGTCGGTGCAGTGCCCTGGGCGACCGCGGCGGTCATGCCACGTGACGACGGCTCCCCGACGGGCGCAGGTGGTGATGATGGCGGCTCGGCCGGCGATCCAGTTCATCCAGGGCACGGACGAGCAGACGATCCCGGACGTGCGGCTGACCAAGTCCCGGGACGGCAGCAACGGCGTGGCCATCTTCACGTTCGAGCAGCCGTCGGTGTTCGACTCGTCGGCGGAGCTCGGGGACATCACGGGCCTCTACATGATCGACGACGAGGGCGTGCTGCAGTCCGTGGACGTCAGCGCCAAGTTCGTCAACGGCAAGCCGGCGCGGATCGAGGCCAAGTACGTCATGCGCACGCCCCGGGATTGGGACCGCTTCATGCGCTTCATGGAGCGATACTCCCAGGCCAACGGCCTCCAGTTCGTCAAGAACTGAAGTACTCGACTCAAATCATGATGAGCTGACGAACCTGTTTTGAGCTCTCTCGATCGATCGATCGATCAATCGATCGACGCAATGGCCGGCAATTGCTCTCAGAGTTGCTACGTACTGCTAGTGTTCTTTTTCCTTTCTCCCCTGCGCCCCTGTGTTGTGACCTGCTGTGAGTGAATTTTTGAAGAGAAAAATATACATATGTACTACTACCAAAAAAATGGGAGGTTTGTTTATTTGTGTATCAACGCTGGTCATTAGTTTGGAACGTCCGTCAGAATGCTTTGGATTAACGAATTGGAAGAGAATTTACTAGTACTAATCGTACAGTCTGCCATGATTGCCAGGCATGCTGCATTTTGGCGCGAATCGTGCGATTTTGGTTAGGAACAGAAATGCAGCCACACATGCCTGAACACATGCCTTACCTTAGCCATCCATTCTCACACATGCAATCCATCTCAACCATTAAATGCACTGCATCTCTGGTTCCTCATCCACTCACATGCGCTACATCTCGACCGTTGGATGCACATTGTGCGGCTGTGATAACCCATGCGGTCACTCAACCCTGAGGAGAGAACACTTGACACTCCTCGTATATGTAGCAGGGGTTTTGCAAACTGGAGTTGATTAGGTTTCTTCACGTGGAATTTGTCCACCTAATTTTTAGTCTTTGTCCACCTAATTTTAAGTCTTTGATTTGGTACGGTCGTTTGCATGTTTTTATTTATTTCATGATTTAACAATGTTATTTTTTTAGTGAAAGGTAAAGTGTTCGTCGATAGAGAGACGTCTACCGTGATTGCATCCGTCTCGTTCTTTTAGTGGTACGGGACGTGCCTGTTGATAGCAGTTTTTATATGGAGTATATATATGGAACTGGGAGATCTGACTGTTATATTAACAGGAAGGAAGCCTAGAGAGGCACTAACGAAATTTTATTTCACCATAGCACATTTTATTTCCCAAATCAACGTTTTTTCTATAGCATTGAGCTGGTTCTTGTAAAATCCACTGTGTTTGAAACACGTGCGCTCCGATTTGACATGTGCAGATCATGTGGATTGTGGAATTAGCAACTGAGAGTGACACACATGGAGACGTCGCACTCGGCGCGTATATCCGCCGGAGCTACCGCTACCGTCCTGCCGCCCTCGTGCATGTCCGCCAGAGCTATCGCCATGCGAGCCACCGGACTGGTGGCCAAGGAGATTGGAGATAAGCTTCTCTGCATCGAGGACGCGAACAGCTTGGAGCGGTGAATGAAGGGGAAAACGACGGACGGAGCTTAACGTAACCGGCGCAACTAGCGCCCCGACGTCCGGCGTGAGCACGTATCCGGACGCCTCACGGGACCACCTATCCGATGCAATAAAACGAGCGCGTCCTCGCATGCGGCCCGTCCCTTGCTGCGCCGTCGTGCCTTGTTGCGTCACCATCCCCCGCCGTGCCGCCATCCCCTCGCGCCCCGTTGCCCTCCACGCCCCATCCCCACCGTGCTCCATCACCCCGAATGTCCAATGAGAAATTTTTTATCGGAAGATCTGTTGCAACATGGAGCAATGCGAGATGCAACATCAGAAGTATTACTTGTTTGTAACATCAGAACAAGTCTACTGCAACATCAGAACAAGGCGACTGCAACAACAGAATAAAGCTATTGCAATACGAGATGCAGGATCAGAAAAAAAGAGATTAATGCAATAAAAAAATATTACTTGTTGCAACATCAGAACAAGGCTACTACAACAATAGAACAAAGCGCAATGCGAGAAAACAACATCAGAAAAAAGAGACCAATGCAACAAAGAAATATTATTTGTTACAACATCAGAACAAGGCCACTGAAATGCGAGATGCAACATCAGAAAACAAAAAAAAGACTAATGCAACAAAGAAATATTACTTGTTGCAACAGCAAAACAAGGCTACTGCAACAGAGCTCGCCGAAACCCTAGCCACCGCCGCGTCCAGAGGAGGAAGAGGAGGAGGAGGGCTCAGATCTAGAGGAAGAGGAGGGGGAGCTGAAAGGTCCTTGTTTGGCTTTGGTAATTGAGTGACAACCTAGGTGGACTAATTGTGTTTAATGTGAGATACACAGGTGATTAGTCCACGGGTACATCATGTGTGAGCAACCTTTGCCATGGAGGTGAAATGGCTTGGAGATGTTGTAAAGCTCACACATGTGATGAAGGAGCACATTGCATATGAGCCATGACATGGAGTCATGTGATCAAGATGGAGAAGATCAAGACAAGACTTAGCTCGACAGACCGGTTGCAAGTGTGAGGGCAAGTTGAGTGATGACTTGGCGCCGATAGACCAAAGCAACGGTGAAGAGCAAGATAAGTCATGATCGATGAACTAATACGGTCACGTGATGATATGAAGTGGATCATATCATTTGGTGATTGGTTGGTGCATGTGTTGCATCAACAATGGAGATGGAATGGAATGCGTAAGGCAAAGATATAACCTAGGGCATTTTATTTCACCGGTCATAGGTGTGTAGAGAAGTTGATGACCGGATTTAGGATAGATGGACTATTATTAAGAGGGCTAACTTATTTGCATATCAGTCATCTAGTGCCACTCGAGTGATCTAACTTTGCATCGTTGCTGGGATTGAGTGGCGTGGCAAGTTGAGTGACTAACTCCTTAAAAATATTTGTGAAAATGCTAACACATATACACATAGTGGTGTACACTTGGTGGTGTACACTTGGTGGTGTTGACATATTTGCAAAGAAAAAGAAGTTGAAGTTGATGTGGATCAACCCGATGAAGAAACGGAGACGAGAAGGTGTCACTGTGAGTGACCGGATGCTGGCCTCGGTAGGACCGGCGTGTTCGGTCAGTGGCAGCAGTTGGCGCGCGGTCTTGGTCAAGTGATCGGACGCGTAGGGTCTGTGTCCGGTCACAGGTGATGTATGATGACTTAGGCGGCGTTGGAGTTGGTGCACGGACGTAGAGCTGATCGGACGCTGGCCTACGTCCGGTCGTGTAGGAGCAGACGCGTTCGGTCGCATAAAAGCTTCTCTGGACCGTTACTGGAAGCGATCGGACGTGGCTTGGGGCAGCATCAGGTCAAGGCGAGCAGCGTGTCCGATCAATGACTGCTGGCGCGCGCGCGAGGTAGCTATTGGCAGCAACGGCTATTTTCAAACGACTAGTGCCACGTGGAGACGGTACAGCGACCGGACACAGGGACCGGCGTGTTCGGTCACTTGGACCTACGTTTTCATTCACCCCGAGTTGTGCCCAGTGAAGGGGTACAACGACTCTTTCTTGTGGGGCTTATAAATAGCCCCTTGACCGGCCTTTGGCTGGTTGCTGAGCACCCTCACGCCTATGTGGCTTATGTAGGAGTGCTTGGATGCCCTCTAACTCACTTGTGCTTGCTAGAGTGCGAATCGATTGCGAGTGAGTGTGATTCTAGTGCGATTGCATTGTGAGGTTGCATCGAGTGGCACTAGGTGATCGTGTTGCAAACCGGTGATGTTTGTTACTCTTGGAGGTTGCCACCTCTTAGACGGCTTGGTGGCTTGTGACTCCGTTGAAACACGCAAGAAGATTGTGCGGTGCTCCGGAGGAGGATTTGTGAGGGGGATTGTACTCACCTCGCGGGGATCGCGAAGAGCAACTCTAGTTGAGCGTGTCATTGAGCTACACTTATTTTTAGGGTAGGTTCTTATGGTGCGCGACGTACGGGTTTGGCGGGCGATGCCAATTAGCCGTCGAACCACCAAGTAAGTGGTCTACACAACAGGGACGTAGTTTGGTGGCAACCAAGTGAACCTCGGGAGGAAATCACCGTATCAACATTGTCTTCATCATCTTTTCGGTGGTTTGCATTCCGCGAAATACAAGTTTGTGTTACTTTTATACATTGTGCTTGTGTAGTTGCTCTTGTGACTAGTTTAGCTTTAGTAGCTTACTAGTTGACTTCTTGCTTGTGTAGCATAGAAGTAGCTCATTTGCGTGGCTAATTTGGTTTTAGTAACATTGTTAGTCACATTGTTTAGTTTGTGTAGCTAAGTAATTTGTGCTTTCTAATTTTGCTTATGTAGCCTTGTTATTGAGCATTGCTAGTGAGCTTAGGTGGCTTTGTGTTTTTCCTTACTAGATTGTGTAGGTGCTTCCTGGTTTGGTTGAAGTACTAATTGTATAGGTTTGTGTGACCTTGCAAGCTAGAATTAGAAATGTGAGCACTAGCCAGTCCGGCACCTTGGTTGCCTCTATAGGATCTTTTTAAGGTACTTATGAACTTAGATAGATTGTTGTAGTTTTGGCTAGGCCGATAGTTTTAATTTCGCATTTGTTTTGGTTAGCCGGCGTGATTAATTTTAGAAAGGACTATTCACCCCTCTCTAGGATTTTTTCATCTGTTTGTGAACTTAATTCGGAGGAGGAGGGGGGGCGTAGATTGAGAGAAGAACCGACCTACCTTTTGATAAGGTGGTATCGCCCTAATCTCCAAAGTGGGGATATTCAGCGGAGGCGGAATTCGGCCATCTCGGAATGATATGGAGGTCGCGGAGAGAGAGGAGGAAGGGAGACATCCATAGACAGCGACCTATCTCGCGTGGGCCCCGGAGAGCGGCGTCGTCGTCTCCAGCGAGGGAGCGGATGAGTGGAGGAGGGAAACGAAGCGAGCGCGGAGTGATACGAAGGTCGTGCAGAGGGGAGGAAGGGATCGCCAGCGGATGGCGCGCGCCGCGCGACGTGCGTCCCGGAGTGCGGCGCGGGCGGGGCGGTAGTGAGCGGACGAGCGATTTGAGGAAAAAATATTAGCGATTATAATCGTACGATCGATCAAGGAGGTGTGTCCGACGGACCGGAGTGGTGATAAGAAGCGTTATCATTAACGTAGCGTGATGAGAGACGGCTCCGTATAGGTCTGTGGAGACACGTTTAGGAGACAGCCAGACATGCAAGGCAAGCTCCAGCCCCAGCGCCAAATGCGTCGCGCCGCCGCCGCCGCCGCCGCCGTGGCGGTCGACCCGCAGCTCCTGGCGGGCGCGGTCGAGGCTGCGATTGCCTCCCGGTCCCCGCGGCTCGGCCGAGCGGCCCACGCGCGCGCCCTCAGGCTGCTGGTCCCGGCCCTCCCGCCCTTCATCTGCGCGCACCTCGTCAACCTCTACTCCAAGCTCGACCTCCCGGGCGCCGCCGCCGCGGCGCTGGCCGCGGACCCCAGCCCTACCGTGGTCTCCTACACGGCCTTCATCTCGGGCGCGGCGCAGCACGCGCGCCCGCTCCAGGCGCTCTCGGCGTTCGCCGCCATGCTCCGGCTCGGCCTCCGCCCCAACGACTTCACCTTCCCTTCCGCCTTCAAGGCCGCCGCCGCCGCCGCCGCGGCCGCCGTCGGGCCGCAGGTGCACGCCCTCGCGCTCAGGTTCGGCTACCTCCCCGACGACGCCTTCGTCTCGTGCGCGGCGCTGGACATGTACTTCAAGACGGGCCGCCTCGCGCTGGCGCGCCGCCTGTTCGACGAAATGCCCAATAGGAACGTGGTCGCCTGGAACGCGGTCATGACGAACGCGGTGCTTGACGGCCGGCCCCTCGAGACGGTGGACGCCTACTTTGGGCTCCGGGGGACCAGTGGGATGCCGAACGTGGTCTCGGTCTGCGCGTTCTTCAACGCGTGCGCTGGCATGACGTACCTGTCCCTTGGGGAGCAGTTCCATGGTTTTGTGGCCAAGTGCGGCTTTGACAAGGATGTCTCCGTGTCCAATTCTATGGTGGACTTTTATGGGAAGTGTCGATGCGTGGGGAAGGCCAGGGTGGTGTTTGATGGGATGGGAGTTCGGAACAGCGTGTCCTGGTGTTCTATGGTTGTTGCATACGCGCAGAATGGGTCAGAGGAGGAGGCTTTCCTGGTGTACTTGGGTGCAAGGAGAGCTGGGGAAGAGCCGACCGACTTCATGGTTTCCAGTGTGCTCACCACTTGTGCGGGTCTGCTAGGACTTGACCTTGGGCGTGCTCTGCATGCAGTTGCTGTCCGTTCCTGCATTGATGCAAACATTTTTGTTGCTAGTGCATTGGTTGACATGTATGGGAAGTGTGGCGGTGTCCGAGACGCTGAGCAGGTATTTTTCGAGATGCCACAGCGAAATCTTGTCACATGGAATGCGATGATAGGAGGTTATGCTCATATTGGTGATGCTTGGAATGCACTCGCAGTGTTTGATGAAATGATAATGGGTCGAGAAACAGCACCTAATCACATCACACTTGTCAATGTTCTCACGGCCTGCAGCAGGGGAGGTTTGACAATGGAAGGGTATGAGTTGTTCCAGACAATGAAGCAGAGGTTTGGGATTGAACCAAGAATTGAGCATTATGCTTGCATAGTGGACTTGCTTGGTCGTGCAGGAATGGAAGAGCGAGCTTATGAGATCATACAGGGGATGCCAATGAGGCCTTCCATTTCTGTCTGGGGAGCACTACTTGGGGGATGCAAGATGCATGGGAAGACAGAGCTAGGAAGGATTGCTGCTGAAAAGTTGTTTGAACTTGATCCTCGGGACTCGGGCAATCATGTTCTGCTCTCAAACATGCTTGCATCTGCTGGCAGGTAAAGTAACTTAAATACCCTTCTGTTCAATCAAGCTGCACTCTCTCATAAATTGTGCTTTGGATTTAATGTAAGTTTTGAATTGCTCCAGGTGGGCAGAAGCAACAGATATAAGGAAGGAGATGAAGAATGTTGGAATCAAGAAAGACCCAGGGCGTAGTTGGATCACTTGGAAAAATGTTGTCCATGTTTTCCAGGCTAAGGACACAACACATGAGATGAATAGTGAGATCCAGGCATTATTGGCAAAGCTCAAAGGGCAAATGCAAGCTGCTGGCTACATGCCAGACACACAATATGCTCTCTATGATCTTGAGGAAGAAGAGAAAGAATCAGAGGTGTTTCAACACAGTGAAAAGCTTGCTCTGGCATTTGGATTGATCTGTATACCACCTGGTGTACCAATAAGGATCATGAAGAATCTGCGAATTTGTGTAGATTGTCACCGGGCTTTTAAATTCATATCTGGTATTGTTGGTAGGGAGATAATTGTGCGGGACAACAATAGGTTTCATCACTTCAAAGATTATGAGTGTTCATGCAAGGATTATTGGTGAAAGTTTTATCCACCAGATATACTGATGCATGTTTTGTTGGCATCTCTAGAACCACTTCTGCAGATATAGAAGGTAACTATTTTTGTTCCTTTACATGATTTGTATTCTATCATGCGACGCGCACCCCAGGCCTGAGGCGGCGCGGCCCCAAGACGGCGGTGGCCTGGCTCCAAGGCGGCAGCACGCACCTCGGGCAGATATAGATTTATTGCACGCACCTCAGGCCTCGGCCCCCTGGCGGCTGCGCATCCGGCCCTGAAGCTGCAGCCCCACTACTAGGTTCCCCTCCCTCCCTAATCCTAATCCAATCGATTTGGCTTTGATTTCGATGTCCATGCTGCAGATCCAGTGAAGGGGAGGAGGAGCAGATCTAGTGATGATTTGGCGCCAGGGATGCCATCTGCCTGTAGGGTTCTTGCTTTGACGACTTATTTCTGATGTTTTCTTAACAGCAGCCTGCAATAGTTGCACCGTCAAGAGTCCAATTTGTCACATGTTCTAGTGTTATTTGACTATGATGGGTGCCATTGCAAAAAAAATGTAGAAAAGGGTCATGATATGAATTTACGCCTCTTGCTTTTACATTTCATTTAATTTCTGTGGGGTTATAGTTATCTAAGGTCCTTCAAATTGTGCCTCTTTTATGTATCACATGAATAATAAACTCAGTATTGATCACTGTTGTAGTAACAGTGGTTCTTGTTTGGCAGATATCTGGTTGAGTGACTTGCAGAGAGGAAGAAGTGCAAGTTCTTCCTTTCTATACCTGACCCTTGAACCAAGGTTTGTGCTGAACTAATTTTCTTTTCAATGCCTTAGTGACAACCGGAGCTCAATGGCCCCATGAACTATTTTTCTCTGTTTTAAGCATAGTCTAGTTTGCTGTTCTGTTAGTATAACTTGTACTCTTTAAATTTCCACCATGCTACCATGTCAATGTCCCATTAAAAAATGTTTCTTAAGCAATAAATCTATACAGCTCCAGAATAGAAACTTACATTGCTTCTGTCTAAAGTGATCATTGGGACACTACTAATGGTTGCTTTGTCAACCATTTCTTATTTCCATCCAGTGATCTGATAATTGTGTAATCTGGTAATTGTCTATCTAGTTAGCTAATTTGGCCAGCTTAAGAATAGAAACTTACACTCTTTCTATCCTTCTGTGGTACTTGGTAATTAGGGGGACATTATTATTGTGGTACTAGGAATTGTAATTTGTGACCAGCAATGGATTTGAGACATTTTGGTGTAAATTTTATCGCTGCAGATCCATTGCATGCGGTTTTAGGATTCCTAAATATCCCTTATGATGGTATAGTGCCAGTTCTAGTTTTGTGCACTTCTGATGTAATGCATTTATAGCAGTATTGTCACACTGCATTAGTGAGGGATTTACCAAGCTTTTTTATTTGTTCTTCTGTATAAACAATTTCAGTAGGTTCCTTCTAGTTGTAAAGTAGTTCTAATGTTTTCTATCTATCCATGTTCCAGATTGAGAAGGCTTTCCTCAAGCAGATTTCTATATTTTATATTAAAGCACAAAGAAATCTGGCAAGGGTGGTAAGAAGGAAGAGCATTGGGGTGGCAACAAAATTCCCAGGGAAGCAATTGAAGAGTATAATGGCCTTATTTTAAACACCATGAGGTGATTAGGTCATGATCCTAGTGGAAGCAATTGAAGGTATAATGGTCTTTAAGAAACGACTTTGACTCAGAACTTTTGCTATAAAATATTTATAAAATATTATATACTTTTATGAAACTACATTTGAGATGAATGATTTTTAAACTCATTATTATTTATAGTCAAAGTTTAAAATGTTTGACTTAAGACAACCTCAAAACGACTTGTTTTAGAGAACCGGAGGGAGTACCTAGTTTGAGATGGTGAAGGACAACATGTTCAGTTTAATACTTTTCTGTTCTGAATGATTTTTTTGTTCCTGCTTGGTAGAAATTTGTCCTAAATAATTAAATTCGTAGTCTAGCTCCAAATTTCATTTGCTATTTTGAAAACAATGAGGTTATGTTCCCAAATACTATGGCACATGGCAACAATGCATTTCTTAGTGATTGTCCTAACATGCTTTATTTATATGAAGAAGTAAATCAGTTTTGCTTAAAGTCCCATGACATTTGCAAGATCTCAAACAGCAGAATATTCCAGTGCAGGTTTTGTTGAAGTGGAAGAACCATGCTGATTCAAGTATTGAAAGGCTGGTAGTATAAAATAGGCTCAGTCTTTGTATACATAGCATTAATGATGTAAAACATCAGTGGGTCTTCGATTTTCATTGAAAAGCTCAGCCCGTATGGGAGTCTGACTATACGTTGATTCAACTTTAATAGGCGGACTAAGTATACATCTATTGAGAAGTTGAGAGAGGCCAAGGACGTGCCACACGTGCGCGACACCGCCGAGCCGTGAGGAGTCGAGTGCCACAGGCAGACACGACGTGCCCGTCGACATCGCGATTTTTTGACATGTGCAGATCATGTGTAGTTATCTACTAAGACTGAGTGACACGGAGACACCGCATTCATTCTGACGCGAGCCTGCATATTATGCCGTCACCTGAGCCTCATGAACATGCAGGTTCGTTAGTGTTATAAATCTAGGAACCAACAACACCAAGTCATTGCCAAGTGCCAACTCCTCTATTAATTCGACAAAAATCGTGACCGACAATAAATTAATAATCGGCCGTTTTCTTTATTTTTCATCAAACTGTCCCAAGATATCGAGGAGGAGCAAGCACTAATAATCCATCCTATCAGCTTTGATAAAGACCTAGTAGTACCTAGTGTAAGCATCTTGAAAGAAATTAAAAGGGACGTCCTCCAATCCGAGCTTTGGGTCTGTACTGTACCCTGCATTAGTGCCCCAAATCATTCAGACACATCTCATCTGCGCCCTATTGTTTATTTATTACACGACCAATGGCATCAGTTTGTTATCTGCCTTTTTCGGTCCCCCTCTTCTTTGTACCCCTTCCATCGAAAAAGAAATGTGATTCTCGCTTCCGGAAGAATATAACAAGTTTAAACTTGATCAAACATATAAAAATACTAGCATGTATGTACCAAATAAATATTATTAGATTAATATGGAATATAAGTTTTTAGTAAACCTATTCGAAGACATAAATATTTGATACTATTTTTTTGTAAACTTTATTTATCAAACCTAAGAAAGTTTGGCTTATCATAAATTAGAATTTTTTTTACACGGCAAGAGTAACAGAAAATATTAGGACAATCACAACGCCAAAAACCACAATTAGGTCTATGCATGTTAATTTACATAGACACTACATACATATAAAACCTATGTCCCCAATGGATAGTTTGTATAGTTTTTTTTAATCACATATTTTCTCTCTCCATTATTTACCGGTCACATCTCTTTATATCATGGTTACCGTGTAGACATGGTTCTTGTCTAAGAAACCATTTTTTCATCTCTCTACTTTAATCGGAGTGCTACATTATCTTTTTTTAGTTGGCATCTAGTGAACGTAAAAATCATCTAGTTTCATGGTTGGGAGTACCATTAGCTGGTTATCGAACATCCACATCTTCTCTCTAATCACGTAATGAAGGCATAGGCACCCACGGTCCTGTCGTTTCTGAACATCCTATAAAAATCATCATTCTCACTTTCTAAAAGGTCAAACATTTTTAACTTTGAGTTTGAACATATATAAGAAAATACTTAATATTTACGGTACATAATTAGTATCACTAGATGAGTCACTGAATGTATTTTTATAATAAACTTATTAAGAGATATAAATATTTTTTAATAAACATAGTTATTAAATTAAATTTAGAAAAGCTTGATCAGCACAAACCTACCGTAACTATGTTTTATTTTGGACGGAGGGAGCAGCGTCTAGAGTAACTAGTACTGGTACAGTAATGATCACGGGGATCATAGACCTAGTCCTAGTCCCAACCCCAAGCTGGTTTGATTTGATCCTGCAGTAATTTGACGTCAAATGAGGCGTGTGAATGGAACGGATGGTTAGTTAACACCTGATCTGATGTCCCTCTCTGTCTCAGATGTGTCCTCCCTCCTGGACCTGCGGAGCAGAGGAGGAGGGGGCGAGAGGAGGACCAGACCAGGCCAAGCAAAGCTCACTGACGCTGAGATGGATGGCAGTTGGAGGAGCAGACATGCCAGCTCTGTTGTGGGAGGATGGACATGGACAGCGAGGGTTTCCTTCCAGTCCAGTTGCTATGCCTGTCTCGTCTCTTGGTGTTGTTGCCCCCTCCTTTCCTCAGGTCCCCATGTCCTTGTCCATCATTCATTCCTTGGGTCCAGTGCCACCCTTTGTTACCATCTGCCAGGCCGCGGTGGAACCCAGGTTTTTCTTTTTGTTTCGCACCCAAACCGACACCACTGTTTATTATTATTATTACTACTAACCTGAAATGAAACTGAAACCAATGAACAGGCCCATTTCAGTATACGTACTATCATGAACAGCTCAAGTGCTGAACTGAATGAACACAACAAGGAGTGAATGAATGAACAGACTCCCATGATTGATCTACCTCCAAGGATTTTTTTTTCTTTTCACATGGTTCGTTGGTTAACAGCAGCTCCAGTGTTTTATTTCGTTCCTCATGCACTCATGCTGCATAATAAGAAAGAAGAGTTCAATTATTGACCATATCAGATTAAGCGGTATATTTATTTACCCCTCTATCATGTTGAGGAGTCAGCCAGCTTGGCCGGTCGGGCCTAGTTATGTGAATATTTTAGCTGATCGGGTGGTGGATTTACAATCGTTCAATTTTTTTTTTGCCTGGTTTGTTTCGCTGAAATTTATGTTGATGTTTATATTGATTTATCGTGAAAGAAAAATAGTGTTTGACTCGTTAAAAAATAAAGTTGAAAGTATAGATGCAGAACAGTACATCATGCTAGGCTTTGAATTTGAAGTGGTCCATGAGTTGACATGACCTCCTGTAGTTCTAGTCAACCCTGCTACGCATGCATCAATAGCTCCGGGTCTTGTCACTGTTCCCTCTCACGGTAAAAACCGGAGGACAAAGATTGACCCGGCACACGTGTTTACCTACTCCTCTAATTATCTTCCTTCAGCCATGCTTATCAGCTATGATATATTATTTTTTTCTCATAACAAAACAGCATCAGTCGATTTATAAGCAACAGAAATGATCAAGCGAACATGATATGTATACTGAGAGAGGGGTAATAAGTGTATGTCTATATTGGGTGTCACCTGGGGTATCGTATGAGGTGTTCAGATACTAATAAAAAAATAAATTACAGAATTCATCGGTAAACCACGAGATGAATTTATTAAGTCTAATCAATCCGTCATTAGCGCATGCGTTATTGTAGCACCTTATTGTCAAATCATAGACTAATTAGATTTAAAATATTCGTCTCGCAAAATAGTCGTAATCTGTGCAATTAGTTCTTTTTTAATCTATATTTAATACTCTATACATGTATCCAAATATTTAATAGAATATGGTGTAAACTTTTTGGGACCAGGCCTAAACTGCGTGTAGATTTTGTTACTCGAATCTATCCATCCGTTTTTCTTCGATGGTGTTTGTACTAATTTAGATTTATTTTAAAGTTGAATAAGATATTTATATAGAGAGAGAAAAGATATGTATACATGTATATATACGAACATCCGTCCGTGTTCAAATAAAATCCAAGCACTTTTTTTCTTATATTAACGACAAATATATAAAGGAAAACAGGGGGAAATGGCAAATGCATGAAACCGTTGCAGCAAGCTAGGAAGACAACCTCCATTGTGTCTCCCAAAATAAACAGAAATAAAAAACCACCACCACACCACGTCTCTCTTTTCTCTCTCTCCATGGCGAGGGAAGGGAGGAAGAGGGGAGAGTAGGGACTTGTTTAGACTGTAAATTTTTATAATTTGATATTATAGCACGTTTTGTTTGTATTTGATAAATTTTGTTTGATTATGGACTAACTAGGCTCAAAAGATCCGTTTTGTGATTTACAACCAAACTATGTAATTAGTTATTTTTTTTACCTATATTTAATGCTCCATGCATGCGTAAAAAATTAATGTGATAGAAAGAATAAAAAAACTTGAAATTTAGAGGTGATCTTAAAAGTCATGATTGCAGTAGGAGTCTCCAACGGCAGCTGCCCTGTGACTGATAAACCACGACCAAAAATATGGTTGGATAATTTGCTGTAAAAAAATATTATTTATTGATTAAAAAAGTAAGACCAACGAGTCTAACGAACAGGACATATTAAGGCCCTATTTGACAGGGCTTTTTCACGGTTTCGAGAGCCGTTTGAAGCCGTTTTACCAAACGGGGTAAAGTAAAATAGCTTCACTTATGAAGCTCCTAAAAACATGCTCTCACAGTGATTTGAGGTGGGATGAAGCTAAAAAAAAAAGGTTTCTCTCGGCTCCTTCTAGGCCCCTAAAATCATACTCTCATAGAAACCATTTTCTAGGCCCCTAAAATCATACTATCAGAGAAACCTATTTTACCAAATAATTTTTATCAAAACCGCTTCAGCTCTGCTGATCAAACTGTTCGTAGAGCCGAAAAAAAAAAACTTCGCTAGTCCCTACCAAACGGTGCCTTATATTAAATTACTCCGCCTCCGTCTCCAACTCCATCACCTCCACCACCTAAACCCAAAAACAACCGCAGCGACGAGGCGGAGGCGACCGGACCCGCGCAGAGGCGGCAGCGACAACCAAGCCTTCGGCGGAAACCCTAGCAGCAGCGGCCGGAGCAGGAGGCAGAGCGTCCAATGGCGGAGGACGGGGACAAGGCCGCGGCGTCTGTGGGGGAGGCAGGAGGCGGAGGAGGAGGGAAGGACGGCGGCGAGGAGGAGAAGAGCGTCAAGCTCTTCGTGGGCCAGGTGCCCAAGCACATGACCGAGGCCGACCTGCTCGCCATGTTCCGCGAGGTCGCCGCCGTCGACGAGGTCACCGTCATCAAGGACAAGGTCACCAAGGTCTCCCGAGGTGCGGATCTGCCTGCCACCCGGATCTGGGCTCGCCACCCTCCCTCCCCCGCGACCGCTCTCGCTCGATTCGCCGCAATGCAGCGCTGTCTCCTCGCGCCTGAGCTCGAGTCGAGTGCTCGGTCCGAGGTGGTTTTGCTTCGCTCGGGTTTGGGTGCAATGCCGCCGGTCGGAGGAATCTGGGGTTTTCGGTTAGAAAAATCTGTAGCATTTTTGGCTTTGTTTTTCCGCCTGTGGGGGATAGATATGCTGCAATGCTGCGGGGAGATCTCGCGTCGAGTCCTCTGGTTGGTGGGGTTTCAGCATGGATTTCGAGTTCACTAGGCCTGAATTGCGTTAGCTTACTGTATGTATGTATTTGCTCCATTGCATGTTTTTGAATCTCTTCCTTTTCCGTTTCTGTTTTTGAAATCATTTTCTTTTGGCTCCCTCCATATTTTCATTTTGGATTTTTGCAAAATGTATATGTAGAAAAAAAAGTATGCGTCACTGTTGTGGCTTCAGCTTGTTTTCGAGCAATGCAGGCTTAAATGTGCCATAATTGTGTGGAATCTGTGCTATATTTAGCTGCTTGGTTTGGGTCGGCCTCAGGTAAACTTGCTTCAGATGGCAATTTTGTTGGCGCTGGCGTTTCTGATGTGCAAATTTAGTTGGCTTTTCTGATGTGGAAATTTAGTTGGCCTTGGCGTTTCCGCAAAAATAGAATTAGAAAAACTACCCTGATTCACTTAAAACCTATTTGTTACGTCGCACATTGACATGCTAGTTTCCCCCCTTCTTGGCTATTTCCTTCACTTTGTTTCCGTCATTTTGCCCATCTGCTTCTCGATTTCACCTCAGTTTTACATGCTCTGAACATAATGCAGGGTGCTGCTTCGTCATATGCCCCTCAAGGGAGGAAGCTGACAAGGCGGTGAATGCCTACCACAACAAGCGCACGCTCTCTGGGGTATGCGACCATTCTAATCTTGTTCTGGTAGCAGGTTCCTTCTTTCCAACTGCCTAGGTGGAATTGTCAGTGACCGAACCCACTGTAGCACCTTTAGCTCCTTCTGGATCGCTAATTATGAAAGTATCCCGTAATCTGGTTGGCAGGGGCCACATTGTCAGCTAATGTTTGCTTTTGGCTGTCCGGTGGGATGGGATCTGATGAGTCTTTCGTGGGGCACTTTAAAGAAACTTAATTTAGTGACTGTGACTTTGGTGGTTGGTTCAAAATTTAGGAATTGGATTTGTTTAAAACTTTGGTCTCAAATTTCTAACCATTAATAGTTTGTGAAGCTGTGTGTGCAAATGATTGCAAGACGTTAACTCATTCTCAGTTTGTAGATTCTCTGGGGACTGTTTCATTTCTGATTTCAAGGATATATCTGAATAGTGTCAAGCCCAGTGGCAATCATTTTTTCTTTCTTTCTTGTGTATCCAATAAGAGGAATATATGCACTTTAACTTCTCTTGAATGAGTTCTTGCTGAATGAAGTTGCTCAGAATCTGTTTCCTAATGCAGATACATAGTAGTGCTTTTAAGAGCATGCTAAGTAGACAAAGTAAATACACACGTAATACAACCCTTCATGAGTAGCCTTTAGGTTGGCTAAATCTTTTCTTTGTTACTTTGAGTAGGATAAACTGGAGAACCATTACAGACGTGGATCATGAATGCGATGTAAAATACATCTTATTGAGTCTTTCTATAAGGCTGGTGCCTGGTAATCTACTGGTTGCTATTATGGTATTTATCAAAGCTAGTCAGTTTATCCTCATTCCTAGAAACATAATGTCTACGGTTTCCAACATTGTAAGCTGCGGAATGAGTTGGTCTTATGTAGATAGGAGGAAGATTTCAATTCATGGTCCTGCCAAATGTGGGAATGTTGATAAAACATGTTGAAGTAGCTTATACCTACATGGGGGTAATAATGAATGTTTTAGTTGCAATTTTGTGCCGATTAATAGACATGATTCAAGAGGAAGTTATTTTCTCATTCTGCAGTATAATCCTATGTTGCATTAGAAACTAGTCAAAACATCTAAGCCAACTGACAGTTTATATTTGGTGGGAGCCTGTGTTAGGCTATGCTGCAAGTAGCAAATGTAAATGCTCTTTTAGGGAACAAGTTGGGTCTATGACAATTGAATACTGATATCTGGTCACCAACCATATAATGGCCTAGGCTTGTCACCTAACAGAAATTAGACCACCAAGTGGCCATAACACTTTAGCATCCATCTTGGTATGCAAAATCAACTTTTTTGTAGCTTCAATTTTCTGGCACACCTAACTGTGGCTCCGAACCAAACAACAAAATCAATATGGAAAACTTAACTCTGGGTGTGGTCAATTCTCAATTGTGGCCTATGTCATATAAAACATGACCAGACTTTTAGGTCACTGCAACAGTTGGGTATGAATAAAGTTTCTGGACTAGGTACATGAAAAATGCATGATTCTGTCTCAACTAGCATCAGTTGCAATAAAAATATATTGCTTTTGTCGTTGTGTATCTTCTTGAATGTTTGTTATTATGGTGCACAAGTTTTCTTGAAAACATCATTATTGCTCTAGGCCTAGATGTTTGATAAAAAGGGCGTACCCAGCGCAGAGAGCTCCCGCTCTGTGCGGGGTCTGGGGAAGGGTGTCAGTGGCAAGCCTTACCCTCGCCTGTGCAATGCGAGGAAACCGCGACTCGAACCCGGGACCTTCCGGTCATAGGCGGTAAGACTCTACCGTTTGCACCAGGCCCGCCCTAGCTGCTGGAAATTGATACTGTTTACTGCCTTCACTCAGTGAATTGCATCAGAGAGTGACTACATATCTAATCCCACTCCTGCTAAGATGCGTTTTTTGTTCAGATATGAAGTAACACTGCATCATTTCGATTTGACTAGCACTAACAGAGGCAAAAGTCAATTCACCAAATGAGGATGGTGATACAAAGCATGCTGTCAAGTCTTGGTAGTTAGAGACCTATATATCCTGATCTTGGACAAAATTTGAAATGCTTTGTAGTTGGTAAACATGGACTTTTTGGAGCCACTGAGAGTCTGAAACACTTGCTCATTATTAATATTTTCTTTTAGTCATATAATCTGTTAGCTACACTTTGTGATGCCTTGTTTGGATATGGTGATATGGGTGACACTTTTCTATGACACTCATCAAATACAGATCTTGTAGAATTGTCTCTGCTTTGACAGTCTCTGATTACACTCTTCTCTGTTTCTCTTTAACTCAGGCATCGAGTCCTTTGCAAGTAAAATATGCTGATGGAGAGTTGGAGAGGCTGGGTATGATTACTGTTTAAGTAGAACTTTCTCTTTGCCAGCGATTTTGTATGGGGATATTTGCTTAAGGCATTGTTGCCTGTTTTTTACTGATATCCAAACAGTGCACTCATTTTTCTACTTGTCATGACTTCCAGAACATAAGCTTTTTATCGGAATGCTTCCGAAAAATGTAACGGACACTGAGTTGACTGATTTGTTTTCGAAATATGGGAATGTCAAGGATTTGCAAATTTTGAGAGGTTCACAACAAACAAGCAAAGGTAATTTCCTGCATAGAAGTTGCTTTCCTTATGCATAGAATGATAAGCATTGCCTCAAATGTATATTGTCAGTTAACTTTGCTCTTTGCAGCTGGCTGTGCCTTCATTAAATATCAAACAAAAGATCAAGCATTGGCAGCTATTGAAGCTCTAAACGGGAAACACAAAATAGAGGTCTGTCAAAAATGAGTTCGGATATCAAATCAATTTTTTATATATTTTTTGATTACTGAGATCTTATAGCATATAGGCTCATAGCTTAGACTGAATTATTTATTTTATTTACTGTCCAAGAGTCTGAAGTAACAATTTACGTTTGCTCTAGTCAAATATATATGTTCAAAATGATGCCATTCAGGACTTTTGTAGCCACCCAGTTTTCAGCCACTTCTGCAATTATTTCATTTAGTTTGATTGTCTAAGTATGCAAATCTATCCACACTCACCCTTAATTTCTTTAAGTTGTCCTGAATTTTCCTAGAAAATCCTACCTGACATTTTTTGGGCGAGAATCCTACCTGACTTAAATCTAACTTCCATATGGTGCCATGAATATCTGGGGATGCGGCAAAGCCTGAATTTTGTGGCTGTTTAATTATTATATTGTTATTATTCAATTTGTACATAAATTATGAAGTAAAGCTCTTTTTACATTTTCAGATAGCCCATTTGACACTATATGAATTTTCTGGATTTCTTTAGGAAACCATGTTTTTTTGTTCATATTCCAACAAGCTCTAATATATTTTGTAGGGTTCTAGTGTGCCGTTGGTTGTCAAATGGGCCGATACAGAAAAGGAAAGGCAGGCTCGGAAAGCACAAAAAGCTCAGTTACAGCTATCTAATATGCCCAATGCAAGTCCAATGCAGCAGTCTTCAGTATTTGGAGCTTTACAGATGGGATATATGCCTCAATACAATGGATTTGGCTATCAGGTGTCTTCTGCTGTTCTTTTAGCCTTCTTTACATTTTACAGCCATATCATAGAAAATGCTCAGTAGTTATACCAAGGGCAGCACTCTTCTAATGGTATTCTGCTTTCAAGTTTTTTTTTTCCTTCACAAATTCTCTCCACCAATCCTTGTTCAGAGCATATGATTTATTAACTTCTGTTCTTCTCACTCATAACATATCATCTGCAGTATTTGAATTCCTTCCTGCTTGTTCTTTGGTAAACATATGTTGTAAACGGAAAAGATCTATTCCATTCAATTTTTCGAAACTCTTAGCTTTACTCGACATTATATTATATTGATTCTTAAATAATACATGTTATATGTGGAAACTCCAAAAACCGAAATCTTTGCCGTAAATGATGATCAACATCAAATTTAATGTAGTGTGTTTTATTTCCTGTGCAGCCACCAGGAACATATGGACTTATGCAGTACCCTCTATCTCCTATGCAAAATCAAGGCCCCTTCCAGAATATGGTTCAACCTCTTAATCAAGCGAACTCAATAAGAGGAGTCAATCCTGAACTGTCTCCCAGTTCAGTTCAAAAGTCATTTAATGCAATGCAGTTAGGCAGCCCTTATCCTGCTATCCCTGGTATGCAGTATCCTGGATCATATCCTGGTGGTCCCATGAACAATCGTCCTTTTGGAAATTCTCACAATTCAATTTCGATTAAAGTTCCAAATTCGAATGCCAATTCCGCCATTTCTTCTAGTCCCAGCAGCAATGCTGGTGGACAGGTTGAAGGTTAGCCACATTCGATACTCTATTCTATGCAAAGGGAGAAAGACTATTCGCCAGAGAATTCATGTGGTCATTAGCATGTACTTTTTGTCTCTCAAGTCTCAACGTTAAGTTCCCTAGCAAACATGTACATTTTATAGCATGATGTGCACGATCCTTTGTTTCACAAAAATGTACATCAGTACGTAGGACAAAAATGATTGGTAGCCCTTATTATAATAGCTGTGCTATCAAAATCCATAAGGACCATAACCCATTATACAATCAATTAATCTGTCTATCTACCACTTCTATAACCGATACCGTATTGTGTTTTAAAACCTATATAACCTGATTATCTAATTATCATGTTACAGGTCCTCCTGGAGCCAATCTATTTATTTATCATATCCCACAAGACTATGGTGACCAAGAGCTTTCCAGTGCCTTTCAGAGTTTTGGTAGAGTACTAAGTGCTAAGGTGTTTGTAGACAAAGCAACGGGCGTCAGCAAATGCTTTGGTAAAATCTCCCACCCTCTCTATCTTTCGGCGCACAGCCTGCTAACTTTGCTAACCGACGCATATAACCTGGATGCAGGTTTTGTGAGCTACGATTCTCCTGCTTCTGCACAGGCAGCAATCAATAGGATGAACGGGTACCAATTAGGCGGTAAAAAACTCAAAGTACAACTCAAGAGAGAAAACAACAACAAGCACAGTAAACCTTATTGACAAAAGGCCAGCAGCTGTTATGACCATACCACGTGATCCGGTCCTCGGTACATATTTGTCGGATAATTGACCGTCACCACATTGTTTCTTCTGCTCCCCCCTTACCCTCAGGCAGCTAGTGAGATCAGGGCCTGGGGAGAAACCGTGTACCCTCTTTGTTCAATTCACATTCTTGGAGATTCGTCACCTCGTGTAATTCATTGCAGCAGCCATAGGCCGTAGCAGCAGTTTGTACCTTGATCAGATCACTTGCTGCCGATTCATTCAATTGTTACCTCCTCTAACTGACAGCCAATTTCCATGCTAGAATTCGCTGTGGTTTACTGTAACAATCGTTTATTTGCCGCATCATTTCCTGACGAACGAAACGATCCATGGTCACAGTCACAGGTCACTGGCGCGGTGGCACCCCATGTTCTGAAGAAGTTTCAGGGCATGGTTAGTGGGGCAGCAAGCAGCGTGGCTGATTTTGATGGCTGAACAGAACAGAGTGGCTGGGTCACAACTCACCGGGCTGTAGATGAGTAATGAAGCAGTTAGGGTAGGACCGTAGGAGGTGGCGCAGCAGGACAGGAACAACTCGGAATGGCTGTGCCATGGCCTGCCCGTGGGCGCCAGTGGATCCGGTAGCTGGGGCCTTGGGAAGAAGACACCAGATTATCTTTCTATGTGATGATGAAGAGCTATGCCCTTGTTTAGTTACTCCTAACTTTGGCACTATGCAAAAAGAATATTATCTGTCACATCAAACTTACGGTATATGCATGTAATACTAAAAATAGATGAAATTAAAAACTAATTACACAGTTTGGTTGTACTTTGCGAGACGAACATTTTAAGCCTAATTAGTCAACGGTTGGACAATTATTACCAAATACAAACAAAATACTACAGTAGGGGATCTGGCACTATGCAAACTTTGCACGTCCAAATTCCGGCCAACTAAACGCGCCCTATATAGCTATTTGGTGGCAGCTTGCAGCCGGGTGCGTGCCCTGCCAAGTCGCCAACAGCAGCAGGGTAGTATTGTTGGATGGATGAACATAAATTGTTGGGAAGCAGGTGAGTATCGTTGTCTTGCAATCAAGACATCCGCCCGCTAACCACAAGTCAGACTCATCAGTCGTCGCTGACACCGACCCACGACACTGACCGCGTTCGAAATCGGATTCGGACGCCTGGAGCGACGCCGGCGCCAGACAGCTTTTGCATAGACAAAGCAAACAGCTCCTTGCATTGGTTCGTGGCCTGAGAACCTTGCCTGAGTCGGGCATCCATCCCCCTCCCAAGGTATTTGATTCTTAGATGCATCTGAGGCCGCCAGCTAGGGTGCCGCCGGCATCTCGGCGAAGCGAGACGCGGTTGCTGAACGCTGGGGCGCGAGGCGGGGTGAATGCCTTGCCGTCGTCCGTCACCAAAACACGCTGCCTCCTGTTTCATCAAGGGGGAAAAAAACGCGCTACCTCCTTGTTGCACACATATGGCAATGCCTACGAAGCTCTTCGCGTCACCAAATTCCTGCTAGTATGTGAGTGACACGTGTGCACCAGTACCATCCATCAGTTGGCCATATGTCAGTTAAACTGAGCAGTGAGCATTCAGACAATGGCTATCTCTATCTGCACCACACACCCACACACACCATTCCATTTCATCACACTAACACTACCAATACAATACTGGCATTGCATCCAATTTTTTTCACTCTCTCTCCTGGTATAATGGCCACTTGGGCATTAAATGAGGTAAACTAATTGCACTTTGGTTGTAAATCACGAGCGAATCTTTTGAGCCTAAAGTCCCAAAAAAAAAACTAAACGCACAAAAAATCCAGATTGCAAAAATTTACAATCTAAACGAGGCCTGGCGTTGCATCGCTGGTATAATGGCCACTTGGGCCTACGAGCCTTCAACAACAAGCACTGGCGAAACCTAAAAAAACAAAAAAAAAACAAAAAAATCCAATCCAACTTGGTCAGCCTGTTCACTTGCTCATATCTGGCTTATAAGCCATGGCTTATCAGCAAACGAATAGTATTTTTCTCTCACACCAAATCAGCCAACAGTACTTTCAGGACTTATCAGCAAACGAATAGTATTTTTCTCTCACAGCAAACCAGCCAACAGTACTATCAGCCAAGACTTATAAGCCAAACCAGCCCAAACAAAGAGGGCAAACATTTATTTACCCATTTTCAACACTAAACCATCAGGCCAGTCACCAAGTCATCCATCAGTGACTCGAGTGCACAACACATGATGATGTCATCGTTGTTTTGACATCATGCATGCAAAGTTGCAAACGAAGCGCTGAACAACGGATCGGAGCTGTAGTGTCACGTCGCTACACCTTGTAGAGCACCGCAGCAGCGGCTGCAGCAGGGTGCATCTGCACCGCGCCAGCGCCGGGGGCCGCCCTGGCCCGGGCCTTGCATCCGTAGTAGTACTCCGCGAAGGGCACCACGGCGCCGCGCGCGCTGCCGTCGGCGCCGGCCATCGTGGGCGACACCTGCAGGAACATGTAGTTCCCGGCGAAGAGGTCGCCGACGTAGGGCCGGCCCTCCCGGAGCCGCCGCGCCACCCTGGCAACCGACGCGCGCACCCGGACCCCGGCGGACACCGCCCTCCGCCGCAGCGCGCGCGCCAGGGCGCCCCACACCCTCAGGCGCCGCCGCGGCCTGCCGCTGCCCCGCCACGGCTGCTGCTGCCTCCGCCGCTGCCGCCTCCCCCTCGCCACCAGCGCGCGGTAGTAGGACCGGTACGACTCCTCGATAGCGGCCGCGGCGCACGGCGGGTCTCCTTCTTGATCCAGGCCGGTGGTAGGGGCCGTCGTCGTGGCGGGAGGATGAGGAGGGGAGGTGGCGGCGGGGAGCTTCTTGAGCCTGTGGTATGAGAAGCTCCGGCGGCCCATGGTCGCCAGGTACGACGAGCCGCCGGCCGGCATGCTGGGCCTGCGCTGCTGGCGCAGGAGCGAGCTAGCCGTGAGGGATGGAGGGAAGGAGACGGCGTTTTTGTACTTGGAGTGGAATAGAATGGACGACGACGCGGGCATGGACCGCGCGCGATGGATGCGTGGTTGAACTGGATGGAGCTCGGAGTGCGCCGTCCCGTCCGTGCGGTGGGTGGCGTGTAGCAGGATGCTTCACTGTAGTACGAGAATACGATGGACGATGGATGGATGGCAGCACGAGGCAGCGACGGCAATTTAAGAGGGCGGCGTTCTAGCTGGCCGACGGCGGGCAGGTGCGTGGGGACGGTGGGGTCTCCGATCCGGTTCCGGTGTGTCCTCCGCCATCAATGCCGGAGCAAAGGTGCTCTCGCTAGTCGGTGCTCGGTCGTGCAGGCACAGGCAAACATCAACATCAGGCTACGCGTCCGGGTAGTGGGCATTTTCAGCAGGCTGACCTACTCGGGCCATGTTTAGCTAGACGCGTCCGGGTAGATTAAATGTTGGGTGTGATGGTCAACGTTTGGATAATTATTATTAAATTTTCAGCAGGCAACCACCTGACCTACTCGGATAATCTACCGGAACCAGACACTACTGTGTGTGTCCTACTGTCCTGTAGCGAGTTAACGTCATAACGTGGCCAGTTATAGCTGCCACGCCCGCGCCGCACTCTTGGGTTTGGTGCTGTACTGGTAACATGGTTGATTACATCTCAGTTCTATTCTCTGTACTTCTATGGCTTGATTGTACGACTCAACGAACTTAGTTGATTTTACAACTTTATCATCTTATCAGTGCCCAATGTTATGTCTTAACCTAAGTTGATTCTACGGTTCTATTAAATAGAACTTACGGATTGTTAAGACTTCTGAATTTACAATTTTATGATTTTCCCTACAAATCTATGATCTTATATTGTTAGAAGTTCCGCACCGATTCAGAATCACGATTTTAACAATCTTAATCGTTACTACTTTCCTCATAGAACACTGCGACCGCGAGGATATACACAATGGCCCTATTTGGTAGAACAGTCCGACTAGGCACTTCTCAGTTAAGGTGCACAAATGAAGAAAAAGCACGGCAAAATAAGATCACAGAAAAAAAAACTGAAAAAAGTTTATTGTTTGCATGTTTGTTTCAACTTACTTTGACCATATAAGGAACTTATAAGCTATACCAAACAGGGCCAATGTATTCTTGCAGCAGCTTCTCTACTACTAGCATGCATGCATGGAACAGAAGGAGCCGTGACCACTGATCACAGAGCTCGACGATTTCATTCTACGGCATTAAGCAGTCAGATCAGAGCACCATGAAACACTGCAGGATAAGATAGGATAGCACAGCAAAACTGAGCGTGGATGGATGCGAGACGAACCTCCACGAAACTGGAGGTCTTTACACTTGACGAGCCCGCTTCTGCCGAGTTCAGCTTCAGCTTCAGCATCAGCAGCAGCAGGAGTACACTACACACACGGCGGCAGACCCGGGGCGGGCAGAGGCGCGCGCTACACAAGGGCCTGCCACCCCTTGTGGCTTTGACCACGACGCACGGCCGCCCGTCCTGCGGTTTGCCTTGCCTTATACCCATCCCATCCCCCCATATTTACATGCAGTGACAACTAGCAACGAGAAAGTGTGACAGCCCGCCGAGGGGAGAAGGGCCTCTTTTGGCCACCCGCCCCCGGGAGCTGATGGTTGCCTGGCCGGGCCGGAACCATGTGTCTTCTCTTCTCTCCTTAGACGTACGTCGGTGGCGGTTGCTGATATACATCTGGTTGACCGGCCGTGTACTTCATCGTAGCAGGCTCGTTAGAGTGAATAACGCGAGGACAAAAAGGACCCAGCGGCAAGGAACATCGTCCTGCATCCTGGTGGCATAAGCTGCAATACCACAAACATCATGTAGTCAGCGAAGAGGCTATTTTGGTATCAATGAGGTGAACATGGTAATGAGTGCCTTCATGGCCTGATGGGCTCACTATATAATTGTACTATATGTCAACACCATGTTGTGTTACTGTTAGCTCGTCAGCGATATGATTTCCTACCTATAGTTGGAAAATAAATGGAGCACTGCATTATTCTCCAGTAGTTGAACTAACCAGAACTATCACCCTATGCCAGTTTCAAAAGATTCATTTTGTATTGTCATATATGCCATTATGGAAAACCTAAAACTTCCTCTTCCTAACAGTTATGTATCAAGCAATGCAAACAGTATTCACAGGGAGATAAAAAGAAATTACTAATTTAACCTCAACTAATTATGCAGGAGACTAGGCAATAAGATCAGATGTGGGATTAAGTGAAGGGGATATATCGTCTTATATCCTTACAAGCACAGACTGCGACTAAGAAGGGGGGGAAATACTCAAATGAACTGTTCAAACCCTCATGAGAGTATATAACATTAGGCTTGTTAACCTTTGCACAATGTTTTACTTCCTATGTGCATATTCTAGAAGTCTGGAGCAGATAAACTAAGTGCCTTTTCAGATAACAATCTACACAGTTGCAAAAGTATAAATGGAAAAGGAACTCACATGAATGAGGTGCAGGTGCCACTTGTGACATCCCAGCAGGACCTGCTCTTGTTGCCTCTTCACTTGGAGCAGGACTTACCCCTGTTCCACGTTCACTTGGAGGATGTGGATGAGCAAACGAAACGGTGGGCAAAGGTGGCTCTGGTATAGTAGAAGGGGAAGGAACAGGAGATCCACCCTGCATACTGGGACCATGTCGAGAACGACTAGCAGGCGAAGGTGACGATGGATGTGGTGGTAAAGCAATGGAAGCAGATCGGTGATCATTAGCTGCAGGCTCAGCAGCTGGTGTAACAGGCCCTCTTTTCTTTGGCTTGTTTTTGCTGTATGGACACCCAGATGGAGGTGGAGCACCATATCTGGGTTGTGGCATAGGAAAATGTATTGGAGCAGGAGCAGGAGCTGGGTGCCTGTTGTCGTCATGACTGTGGTGATGGTGATGATGGCCGTGATGACCATGATGATGCATGGGTGCAGGACTCGGTGCATCAGAACCACCTCCACTATGTAAGGAATGCCTAAGATAGGATGAAAGGCTAATCTGTTTTACCCTGCCAAATACTGTATGATTCAGACCCAGGTTTCCCGAGGATGAAGATGAATTGGTAATTGTCCGTGCCAACTGCTTCATCCTTGGAACAGATGGCTGGTGATTTCCAACTTCGAGGACAATGGAGGTCTCAACAATTGTTGGAGGGAGAATCGTTGAACCTTGCGAATTTGTCAATTTGATATACAGATTCTGCAATGCAAAATATTTGAAACTCAATTGACAGGAAAAGGAAAGAGAAGGTACACTACTACTAGGCGAGGCAATTCCTCCCTTCTCAATTTTCCTTTTGGCTTAGAATAGAATGACAAGTCCAAAGCACCACACACAAACAAAAAAAAAGAAGGTACAAACAACTATCTGTGCTTTATACTTTTTTACTTCTTGCGATCACAAATATAACTCTATCTAGGTTTGTCCTCAATGAACCCTTTCTTTAACTTTGACTATATAGATTGACAGCAAAATTTTAATATTACAAAATTTATGATGAAAAACCAATTTTATAGTGTATAACACTTCTCATTTAGGATCATATATTTTTATAGATATTGCCATATTGCTTGTCAAAGGTAAAATTTTTTACTAAGGGTAACCCTGTAGGCCTGTATGGACTTATATTTGTGATAGTATGTGAACTGAAGTCATATGCCTACAATACATGGTTCACATGCCCAGCAAATTAATAAGTAAATGACATAAACTTTTGTCAGAGATTGCAATATGTCTACAAGATTATATGCAATATGTCTACTGTATGGACTTGCATGCAAATTTTGCATAAATATGCATAAACTTGTGGAGTGCCAGAATCACCAAATGTCTATAGGCTTTTGGCATAATTAAGGTTGCTAGAAGAAGAATCAAATGAACAAATCTTACATGTACATAAGCTTCCTCTTTTGATGTTATCAAATTGAACAGACAATGCAGACAAACACATAGAAATTAGGCCAGAAGGTACAACTAACCTCGTATGGATTGAGTAGTAGTCCTGCCTTCATTTGATCCTTTAACTCGTTAGTTCTGTCTTGAAGTTTGTAGATTGGATAGTTGAGAGTAAAATTAAAAGTTGCATGGGGCTTCTGAAGAAGAAAAGCAGTTTGTGGAGGGATGATTGTTATTCCTCCTGGGAATTTAATTACTTCAAAGGATGATGAATTCCCGAATAGGGGCTCAGTCAAGTGGATTGTTGACTGCCGTACAACCAAGGACATGAACTCTGATCTAAGGATGCTCAACGATGTTGATGATATAGTCACGTTCTCTGGGAAAGGGACAATGTTGAAGATGATGTCTGTCCAGTTTGATCCATCTAATGGATGTAGCGTATTCACAACCACCTGTATAGAAGTTTGAGCGTCAGTTTAGCGCAACTGGATGAAAATATCAACCGAAGTGTAGATCAAGGGAATTGGAGGGCCTACTGTGGAATTAGGAATGCCAACTTCCTCATAAATATCCAATTCGAGCTGGGATTTATTCTCACTCAGCTCAGGAAATGTCTTGTGTAGCCTAAAGCTTGCCACTATAGCAGCTGCAAAATATAGGATCATTAGTAAACATATGCTATAATGGTGTGTTTCTGTCTACTGATCTATCGGGGAGAAACAAGGAATGGCAAGTCGGTCCATCCCACAGCAAATAAGATGAATAGAAAAACCAATGCACAATCCGAGTATCCGACAGACTAATGCAAACTCATCCACAATAAGCCAATAGCAGCATAACACAATGCTAGGTGGCCACACTAAATCTAGTAAGGCACGCAGAATCAATATCCCTGGCATCATCAAATTTAACGAAAGAAGGAATCTAATATGCTACACAAATCAGCAAACAACACAACCTAATGCCACATA